CCTGTCTTCTGTAACAGTAGACAGAACCAGTCTCCTATAACAAAAGTTACAGAATCTGTCTCCTGTAACAGTAGACAGAACATGTCTCATGTAACATTAGTTACAGAACCTGTCTCCTGTAACAGCAGACAGAACCTGTCTCCTGTAACATTTGTTACAGACCCTGTCTCCTGTAACATTAGTTGCAGCACATGTCTTATGTATTTCTAATTAAAACACTTGTCTCTCCATGATACATAAGTTATAGCACCTGTCTCATGTAACATTAATTACAGAACCTGTCTCCTGTAACAGTAGACAGAACCTGTCTCATGTAACATTTGTTACAGAACCTGTCTCCTGTAACAGACAGAACATGTCTCATGTAACATTAGTTACAGAACCTGTCTCCTGTAATATAGGTTACAGTTCATGTCTCCTGTAACAATAGTCAGAACCTGCTCATGTAACATTAGTTACAGAACCTTTCTCATGTAACATTAGTTACAGCACCTGTCTCATGTAACATTTATTACAGCACCTGTCTCATATAACATTAATTGTAACACATGTCTCATGAAACATTAGTTACAGAACCTGTCTCCTATTACATTGATTATAGCACCTGTCTCCTGTAACATTAGTTACAAAACCTGTCTCATGTAACATTAATTACAGCACCTGTCTCATATAACATTAATTGTAACCCATGTCTCATGAAACATTAGTTAAAGAACCTGTCTCCTATTACATTGATTATAGCACCTGTCTCAGGTAACAATAGTTACAGAACCTGTCTCCTATAATATTAGTAACAGAACCTGTCTCCTGTATCAGTAGACAGAACCTGTCTTCTGTAACAGTAGACAGAACCTGTCTCATGTAACAGACAGAACATGTCTCATGTAACATTAGTTACAGAACCTGTCTCCTATAATATTAGTAACAGAACCTGTCTCCTGTAACATTAGTTACAGAACCTGTCTCCTGTATCAGTAGACAGAACCTGTCTCCTGTAACAGTAGACAGAACCTGTCTCCTGTAACATTAGTTACAGAACCTGTCTCATGTAACATTTGTGACAGAATCTGTCTCATGTAACAGTAGACAGAACCTGTCTCATGTAACATTTGTTACAGAACCTGTCTCCTGTAACATTAGTTGCAGCACATGCCTCATGTATTACTAGTTAAAACACTTGTCTCTCCATGAAGCATTAGTTATAGCACCTGTCTCATGTAACATTAATTACAGAACCTGTCTCCTGTAACAGTAGACAGAACCTGTTTCATGTAACATTTGTTACAGAACCTGTCTCCTGTAACAGTAGACAGAACCTGTCTCCTGTATTATTAGTTACAGAACATGTCTCCTGTAACATTAGTTACAGAACCTGTCTCCTGTAACATTAGTTGCAGAACCTTTCTCATGTAACATTAATTATAACACATGTCTCATGAAACATTAGTTACAGAACCTATCTCCTATTACATTGATTATAGCACCTGTCTCCTGTAACAATAGTTACAGAACCTGTCTCCTGTTACATTAAGGTGCAGCACATGTCTCATGCAACATTAATTACAGCACCTGTCTCATGTAACATTAGTTACAGAACCTATCTCCTGTAACATTAGTTACAGAACCTGTCTCCTGTAACAGTAGGCAGAACCTGTCTCCTTTAACATTTGTTACAGAACCTGTCTCCTGTAACAGACAGAACATGTCTCATGTAACATTAGTTACAGAACCTGTCTCCTGTAACAGTAGACAGAACCTGTCTCATGTAACATTAGTTAGAGGACCTGTCTCCTGTAACAATAGACAGAACCTGCTCATGTAACATTAGTTACAGAACCTTTCTCCTGTGACATTAGTTACAGCACATGTCTCATGTAACATTAGTTACAGCACTTGTCTCATGTAACATTAATTACAGCACCTGTCTCATATAACATTAATTATAACACATGTCTCATGAAACATTAGTTACAGAACCTGTCTTCTATTACATTGATTATAACACCTGTCTCATATAACATTCGTTACAGAACCTGTCTCCTGTTACATTAAGGTGCAGCACATGTCTCATGTAACATTTATTACAGCACCTGTCTCATGTTACATTAGTTACAGAACCTGTCTCCTGTAACATAAGTTACAGAACCTGTCTCCTGTAACATTTGTTACAGAATCTATCTCCTGTAACAGTAGACAGAACCTGTCTCATGTATCAGTAGACAGAACCTGTCTCATGTAACAGACAGAACATGTCTCATGTAACACCTATCTCATGTAACAGTAGACAGAACCTGTCTCCTGTAACATTAGTTACAGAACCTGTCTCATGTAACAGACAGAACATGTCTCATGTAACACCTATCTCATGTAACAGTAGACAGAGCCTGTCTCCTGTAACATTAGTTACAGAACCTGTCTCATGTAACAGACAGAACATGTATCATGTAACATTAGTTACAGAACCTGTCTCCTGTTACAGTAGACAGAACCTGTCTCCTATAACATTAGTTACAGAACCTGTCTCCTGTAACAGACGGAACATGTTTCATGTAACACCTATCTCATGTAACAGTAGACAGAACCTGTCTCCTGTAACATTAGTTACAGAACCTGTCTCATGTAACAGACAGAACATGTATCATGTAGCATAAGTTACAGAACCTGTCTCCTGTAACAATAGACAGAACCTGCTCATGTAACATTAGTTACATAACCTTTCTCCTGTGACATTAGTTACAGCACATGTCTCATGTAACATTAATTACTGCACCTGTCTCATATAACATTAATTATAACACATGTCTCTTGAAACATTAGTTACAGAACCTGTCTTCTATAACATTGATTATAAAACCTGTCTCATGTAACAATAATTACAGCACCTGTCTCATGTAACAATAATTACAGCACCTGTCTCATGTAACATTAATTATAGCACCTGTCTCATGAAACATTAGTTACGGAAACCTGTCTCCTGTAACATCGATTATAGCACCTGTCTCATGAAATATTAGTTACTGAACCTGTTTACTGTAACATTAGTTGCAGCACATGTCTCATGTAACATTAATTACATCACCTGTCTCATGTAACATAAATTATAACACCTGTCATATGTAACATAAGTTGCAGAACCTGTTTTGTGTAACATTAGTTACAGAACCTGTCTCATGTTACATTAAGGTGCAGCACATGTCTCATGTAACATTAATTACAGCACCTGTCTCATGTAACATTAGTTACAGAACCTGTCTCCTGTAACAGTAGACAGAACCTGTCTCCTGTAACATTAGTTACAGAACCTGTCTCTTGTAACAAACAGAACATGTCTCATGTTACATTACAATGTAGTTACAGAACCTGTCTCCTGTAACAGTAGACAGAACCTGTCTCCTATAACATTCGTTACAGAACCTGTCTCCTGTTACATTAAGGTGCAGCACATGTCTCATGTAACATTAATTACAGCACCTGTCGCATGTAACATTAGTTACAGAACCTGTCTCCTGTTACATTAGTTACAGAACCTGTCTCATGTAACATTAGTTGCAGCACATGTCTTATGTATTACTAGTTAAAACACTTGTCTCTCCATGAAACATTAGTTATAGCACCTGTCTCACGTAACAAAAATTACAGAACCTGTCTCCTGTTACAGTAGACAGAACCTGTCTCATGTTACATTTGTTACAGAACCTGTCTCCTGTAACAGACAGAACCTGTCTCCTGTAATATACGTTACAGTACATGTCTCCTATAACAATAGACGTTACAACACCTGTCTATTTGTGTAACATAAGTTACAAGACTTGTATTATAGTGTTACAATATACCCCAGTAACTGTTTGGTAACGAGACTATATATGAAGCGAATGGAGTTTTTGAGCATTACAGAAACTATGACTATGACATTTACAACGCAATCATTTACCTACATGTACATACACAACACAGTTGTAAGAACCCTCCTGATTGCTTCTTGGGGGAATCTTAAATCTTAGAAGATCTCGTAACGTAGGGTAAACAGAATAATTACGAGGAATTCCAAATAAGCATTTGACTTCATTAACAAACACAAACTCACGTTTTCACTACACACGTGCTCGCTACAAAAAAAAAAGAAGAAAACTGTGAAAGAACGATGGCAGCCCCAATGATGATGACGACGATTTACCTCAATTTTTCAAGATTCACAAGTTTCCTTGTTGGAAACTTTATAGTTTACCTCAGAACATTCTGAAAAAGTACCAGGTAGTTAGTGGACGGGTGCATGTGAGTGCATTACATTCTTTTAAGCCAAACAGTAAAATATATCCTTTCCTCTAAAACATTTGTCTTACCACTCTTTACACTGCCATACCTCATACTAAACTTAAGAAACGCTTTAATCTCTTATTATGAAAGCGAAAGGTGAACGCCTATGTATGCGGTGGCAAACATTCTTATGAATGTTAAAAAACACAAAGGCAACGATGAAAAATACTGAAGATGAAATCTTAAAATGAACGAGTTCCTGGTTGACACTATCTTTCGGCGGCATATTTTTCGAGCAGACTGTTGGCATTCCAATGTGAACAAGCTTGCCATAAAACTTATATATGAAATAAAGTACATTAATGCTTACAGTATTGATTTATTGCTGGTATATTTACTAACCTAAAACAAACATTTTATCTCTTCAACGTATTCAGTATCTTTAATCATAAATAACGTGTCTATCTGGGAGGCGTCTGTTATTGCTACACTGTACATGTATTTCAATGACGGTGTGATATGGAAAACATCTATGACCAATCAGTAATGCAGGTAGACGTGCCAAAAGACATTCCTTTTTGTTTTAAAACACAGGGCTGTATAATAAATCACACAGAGTATCATAAAATGCGTGCGGTATGTTTAAACTTTTTTATGTATCGTGCAGTATTGATAAATGTGAAGAATTTATGTGAAATCGATTTGGCTTTTATCCCGACAACTCTTATTGAGACAAACACCTTGAGAAAAGTTTTGTTCGAGAACGAAGTCTGACACCTAGATGGCCCGCTGACTGTCCTGTAGCTGTCCACGTCTCCTTCAGGTAGGTACTGGTACCAATGTCGGGGAAACCACAAACTAGTGTCATTTTGTGTTCAGTCATATGAGGTGATGGTTTTCTAAAGCTTCCAGTAACATTTAGTAACATATCTTTTTAATGCATTATTGATTTCGATCATATACCGTCTAAGCTATCATATTTATCAATTCCAGAAATTCTGCTAAAAGTGCTAAGGATGTACGCCTCTGAGAAGTTTTAAAAAATCCCGTATTAAACGATTTTTCTTACGGTATATGCATTTTCGGAAAAAGAAGTTACTGGCATAATAGAAAATGCATACAAGAATTATGTTGGCGTGTGTTTGTTTTCGTGCTATGATCGGCTTAAAACACCAATTTAACATAATTTGACATTTTTGGTGATATTTTGTTTTTGTTTTGACCGTATGTAGAACAAATTCATACCATACCTTTCAGGTGTGCCATCAGAAATGTAATAATGTTTGTACATTTGATAAATATAGTATATGCTTCTAAATTATGGAAGTAAAACTTCTATTACTTATTCTTTCATCTCAGAAGAGCGATTTAGGTTTCCTCTACACCTTATTTTTAATGACAAAATACTCATTTTCCCCATTTTTAGCAGATGTAATGTTACATATAAACTTTTTTTTTAAATTTCAATGGATCAAAGAAAAGTTTGTTTCTCTCTCTAAAACAGTCACAAAAATCGGGGGCCATTGGGGTTCTGTTTTAGTCTTTTTATCGTAAGTGTTATTTTCAACTGTTACGGGGTCAAAAATAAAACTACATTTATAGATTCAGTTACGCTAAATATGTTATACAATACCAATAAAGGACAATGTTCCACTTTGTTGCTTAATATTTCATAATATTGAATGAACTTGTACAGCAAAAAATTAACTTCCGTCAATTAAAAATGGCGGCACACATTTTCAAAATTGCCGCCGAATTGGTCATTTTTAAAAATATTTTGTAAAAAAGTCTGCAACAACAGGCATCTAATGATTTTACACATTTGTAGGATGCATGTTTGCTTTTAAAATTGGTTATAATTTGTTAAAAGATATATAAGCCCGTTACATTGTATCAAAACGAGATTTTGACTTAATTTAAATCTCCGTAGAGTACATTCTTACAGGAGACAATACGTTGTACCCTTGCTTAGTAATTACGGGCTGCAGGTGTAAGTAACAAATATTTCCTAAAATACTTCCTAAATATATGTTCAACAAGGATGAACTGTGAGAACTGTGGACAATTGCCTTCAGTACGTTAAATGAAAAACTCCCAACTGGAGGAGATTCTTACTTTTCTTCGATATTAAGATAATATATTGATAACTTATTTTACGTCATATTTAAGTGCAATTATTTTTGACGTTTAAATTTAAGAAATGCATCAAACAATATATTACTGTAAAATGTAGTAACTTCCAAGTTATTCATTGATCATTAGTTTAAAGCAAATATACCTAACTAGTCCAATATTTTGTGAAGATACCCCCAAAACTGACGTTTGCGCTTTGTAGAGAGCACTTTGTCGTTGATCAGCAAAATAGATAAAACAAGATAGAGCGATTAAAAATAAACAAATTTACTAAGCACCAACATACTTAATGAGGGCTGAGTTTTGACAGTACACATAGAAAGAATAAAGAGACCATTTAAATGCCTTTTGATGAATTGCAAACAAAGATGATAAAGAATATATTAAACAGCGTCCATTCTCACAAACAAATTATTCCGCAGCGTCAATGTCAACACACAAAATATACAGCAACGTCAATACACGCATACAAAATATACCACAGCGTAGACACACACGAAATATACCACAGCGTCAATACCAACACACCAAATATATCACAGCGTCAATACACGCATACAAAATATACCACAGCGTCGATACACACACGAGGTATACCATAGCGTCAATACCAACACACCAAATATACAACAGCGTCGAAACAAACACACAAACTATACTTAAGTGTCCATATACACAAACAAAATATTCCGCAGCGTCAATGTCAACACACAAAATATACCACAGCGTCGATACACACACGAACTATACCAAAGTGTCCACACACACAAACAAAATATTCTGCAGCGTCAATGCCAACACACAAAATATACAGCAACGTCAATACACGCATACAAAATATACCACAGCGTTGATACACACACGCAATATACCACAGCGTCAATACCAACACACCAAATATTCCACAGCGTCAATACACGCATACAAAATACACCACAGCGTCGATACACACACGAAGTATCCCATAGCGTTAATACCAACACACCAAATATACCACAGCGTCAATACACGCATACAAAATATACCGCAGCGTCGATACACACACGAAGTATACCATAACGTCAATACCAACACACCAAATATACAACAGCGTCGAAACAAACAATCAAACCATACTAAAGTGTCCATACACACAAACAAAATATTCCGCAGCGTCAATGTCAACACACAAAATATACAGCAACGTCAATACACGCATTTAAAATATACCTAAGAAATATACAACAGCGCCGATAATCACACACAATATATACCACAGCGTCGATACACACACGAACTATACCATAGCGTCAATATCAACATACATGTACCAAATATAAAAAATAGCGTCGAAACAAACAAACAAAATATACAACAGCGTCGATAACCACACACAATATATACCACAGCGTCGATAAACACACGAAATATACCACAGCGACGATACACACAAGAGATATACCACAGCGTCAATACACGCACGAAATATACCACAGCGTCGATACACACACGAAATATACGACAGCGTCAATACACACACGAAATATACAACAGCGTCGATACACACACGAAATATACCACAGCGTCGATACACACACCAATATACAACAGCGTCGATACACACATGAAATATACCATAGCGTCGATATACACAGGAAATATACCAAAGCGTCGATACACCAACGAAATATACAACAGCGTCGATAACCACACACAATATATACCACAGCGTCGATACACACTAACAATATATACCACAGCGTCGATACACTCACCAATATACAACAGCGTCGATAACCACACACAACATACCAAATATACAACAGCGTCGAAACAAAAAAACAAAATATATCAAAGTGTCCACAAACACAAACAAAATATTGCGCAGCGTCAATGTCAACACACAAAATATACAGCAACGACAATACACGTATACAAAATATACCACAGCGTCAATACACGCATACAAAATATACCACAGCGTCGATACACACACGCAATATACCACAGCGTCAATACCAACACACCAAATATACCACAGCTTCGATACACACACGAAGTATACCATTGCGTCGATACACACTAACAATATATACCACAGTGTCAATACCAACACACAAAATATACCACAGCGTCGATACAAAAAAAATATAGCACAGCATCGATACGCACATACAACATATACCACAGCGTCATCACTAACACATAAAATATACCACAGCGTCATCACTAACACATAAAATATACCACAGCGTCATCACTAACACATAAAATATACCACAGCGTCATCACTAACACATAAAATATACCACAGCGTCATCACTAACACATAAAATATACCACAGCGTCATCACTAACACATAAAATATACCACAGCGTCATCACTAACACATAAAATATATCACAGCGTCATCACTAACACATAAAATATATCGCAGCGTCAATACACACTCATGACATTGGGACTCGGAATGTTAAGAAAAGAACAGATACTGAGTTACTTTCAGCCTGTAAGGAAAACAATAATGTATCGCTTCAAAACCGGAGACGAAATCATAAAGTAATCGTTTCCTGTATAACATTTACATGTATCACCGTCAACGAGTTGATAATCATTTAATTAAGACTTCAGTCAATTTAAAACTATCATTGTTGTATAAAATATACAAATGCCATCTTTTATTGGGAAAACAATGAATTTCAGATTAAAACCAATGGAAATTATTTGAAACAGGAAATGTTAATGTTTGATAGTTAATGTTTGTTCAGCTTTGTTTGCCACGTAAACAAGTTTAGGAGAATGATCACTATGGTGCATCTTTGTTATTATAACATGTATGAATAATTTCTCATCGTGGGTGTTCTTTTCCATTCAATCATAATTCTGCTTTATCTATACTATTTCACAATCTCTCCATGTATTCTGGGCAAGGTTCTCCAGCATTATCAGTAACAGACAGACAAAAGTGACAACCAATCTAACAGCCACGTTTTTAAGGCGTCACATACGGAACGATTTACAAAATGTTTCATTTAACCTTGATCTACATATGTCTACATATGTAGGACAAACATGTCTTAACATATAACGGTTAAAGTGTACTATACTTTACATTTTATGCTGCTGCAGAACACTCTATGAACTACTAGACATATTGGTTTACTTGTACCAAACATTCATTATTGTCCGAGTATAAATTCAAAATAGAGATCGGGTATATATATATGTATATGAATAGATAATATTACAATCTTTACTGGTTTGTTTTGTAAGTATTACCAATGACAGCAGTCGTCATGTATTGGCCATAAACACAAAAGCGACATACTCGTGTATATCATAAATTAAACTGATCGCTTGTATCCCTCAGCAACAAAAACGACTCTTATCATTGTATTAAAACTAGGCGGAGATAAACACGTATACGAATGCATGCTGTCAGAACATATAGTGACCAATGGTACTGCACTGATCACGATGTGACATATCAAAGTAATGGTGCTTTAAAATGGCAATATCAACAATGGATTCTCTCGTCGGCTGAAATATGTAACCGTATATATTACAAAGATGTTCAACTCTAAATACAAAGAAAATATATATAAATGTGTTCTAACTTATATAAAATAAAAACTTGACATTTAGATCAAATTGTTTTCAGGACATACTGCAATACTTCATATGTGTACATGAATAACAAAGACGAAGATGCCTTCACACGAACTAATATTCGTATTTGTTGCATTGATAATAGGTGAGTAATAAAATATATTATGCATAACATATTCTAGAATTATAACACCGTGTGATCTTTGCACTGAAGGAGAGATATTGGACAGAATGCAACGAAAAATCATCTTTTATTGCTAAGATACAAAGTATTATGAAATAGTGTCTGCTGACATCGTTCGTTCGGGTGTATCTCTGAGTGCCAAACATTGGTAATTTCCCTGTAGGGCAACTTGTTTCTTAAAAAGTGTCTAAGATCTGAACCAAATATAGCAAAAGTTATTTGAGGAAGTGTGCTGTATGAAACAAAGGTAAATATCAGGTATTCACAGGTGAAATGCAGAATTTATGAAACAGTATATAATTGACTTCCCATTATTTTATAAAACAACACCTGCCTATTGTCTGTAAATATGTTGGCACTCAGAGAACACCCCCTTTGTTCATAATTTTTGCTTGCAAGAATGTGGGGGTTATATTTATCAATCTCAAAACTCCTGGTTCGTAAGGTGACATACTATCATCATAAGATGGCAAAACATATTTTAAAGTTTAGATAACAAGTTATATTGTGATTTTTATCATCGGCCATTGTTTAAAACAGATATATGGAATATCACAATTGATATACTAGATGTTTTTACCTACTAGGTCTCGTTGTATATAGTTACGTCCATATCAGTAAGCTACCAGGTTCACTATTTTCATGGAATATTTCGTAAACATTGTACTCGAATAATCAAACAAATGTTTACTTTTATTTATTTTATCAATACGTATATTTAAGTATATACATGCCAGTTAACCAGTTTTATTAATATAAGTTTACTTTTATATTTACCTAGGTATGCTCATTATTCACATTTAAGATAAACCTGCTTTAGTTATATATGTATATAAACGTAATTTTAGACACATAATTGTATATTTTTCGTATGAAATCTTTGTTCCATGCGATACAAATTAACCTCTCAATATTTGATAACATTGTGCACATATTTTAAAAGTTCCTTTTGATATGAAAGATGAAAGTAAGTAGCTTTTCACGTCATTCATTTTCAGATTCGGTCCACTTACAGATGCTTCCTCCTAAATTTCCCCAAAATGTCTACGCACTCATTCATGAGGACAGAGCAAACGGTACTTGTTAGAATAGTTAACCTGACATTAAATGTTAAAAGCGTTTGATTGCAAAGCATTCCAACAATGGGATGTTTGATCGTATATGTACAACTTTAAACATACAACCCCATGCTTGTGTTGTGAACCTATCCGTAATTAAGTAAGCAGTAACAGATAATAATACTCTCTATATATATATGACAAGGGATAAAGCTACGTTACAACGATCTTTGTCTCACGTTTGTTGTTGTCCCAATTAATACATTAATTATATATCACAGGTTCCCTGATCAAATCTTTTAATGTCACCGACCAAGATAGTGCCAGCATAACGCTGGGGATATTTGATGATTTTACCCGACAGAGCGTTTACCTTAACCAGACCAATGTTAGTTCCGGGTTCGTGACAGGCCATATATACCTAATCAACCCTGACAGTTTCGATTTCGACAGGGTAAGATATTTTCAAAACTCTCAACATTATTATCATATAGTATGTATGAATGTTCTGCATTCGTTTTTTAAACGAAAGCAATGTCGTTTTTCTCTGTTTCCACGAAGTATATTTATTGTCACTGTTAGGAAGTGAATTCCTTAAACATATAGTATGCATGTCTGTACCATCTGTTTTCGAATTTTTACTAGCTTTAATAGTTTTTCACTTTCACCCCGCAATCGTGTTTGGCAATAATATAAATTGCATTAAAAATCAGAACAACGAATTACGAAAAGAGAGCAAGAGCTCAAAAAATACTTAAATAAAACAAAAATGCATCATAAACTCCCACGAAAACGGCGGCGAAATCAGATGTTTAAATATGGGCTCACCTTAAAGTTATAATATCTCTGAATACATTAAATGTTACACCCAAGTGTTTGGCAAAGACAAAATGTGTTTGGCAAAGACAAAATCAACAGTGTGTCATGAAATATGGAGTATCTAGTAACAACAGTGTACATTTATATATAAACCAGTCGGCATTAGTGTAAGAAACATATACAGTTGCAAAAATATCGATCTGTGTTGCTCTTTTTGTTAAATAGACCTAAATCTACACACATTTATCATATACCAATTCAACTTGATTTCAATCGCAATATTTATCAAAATAATCATAGATTTATTTTGCTTGAATAGGAGTAGCTGATATGTTTGTCAATGAATACTTTTGCAATAATATACAAGTAGTGATTTGTACATATAATTAAATGTATCTTTAGAAAGAAAAAAAAATCACTGTCTGATTGTATAAACAGTTTAACGATTTTAGAAGAATAATAAGCATACAGCCAGATTTAGATTTATATCAATAATTAAATATATATACTGTTTTAATTTCAAACGAATCAAACAAATAGTGTACTCTTAAAGTTTTTTCGCTCTATATACTTCACCACAAAAGTACATTTTTTATGTTATAATATTAGATGTTTTAAAGTAAATACATTCCTGCAGCAATATGAAATTTTGCATCATAGTATATGATGTTATTTATAGGTTTATTCCTCTGCTAACAGATAATCAAAAACACCGTTAAGAAAAGCATTGGTGAGGTGATTTCTTAGCAACGGGAAATAAACTGATAAAAGTAGGCAAAGCTATGACGCTTTAAGTGAGCTAAAATGACTATGCACTCCTCAGAGTATAGAGATTCAAGTCAATGCAGTGACAAAGTCATGCTAAATAAGCTTTAGTATTATTGATGCTTTAATGTATTTGGAATATAAAGACGTAATATATATTGCGTCCTAAATTTCTTTATATCTCTTTCGAAAGTTTGGATTTTAAGTTGTTGCTTTTTCTTCAATAAAGCAATTTCACGATCATGGCAGCATACGTTTCTAATAGTTTTTCTTTTGTTGAAACTTTTTCAGGGTAATAGTGAAGTAAAGCTGGCATTCACAGCATCTGATGGAGGGGGCAACACGGTAATACACGACAAAATAACTTTCCTCATAACGTATATAGAAGGCACCCAATGAGCGGTTATTTATAAGGATTTTTATCCAAGTTATTGGTTAGATCATATGTTCTGGACATACAATTGATTCTTTAGTTTCTAGAAAGTATCATAAAACAAATATTTTTAATATATAACAAATTTCAGTTCCAAGTCGGAACATATCTTGTGTAATTATATGTATTTAACAGGACTTTTTAGTTTTACTTCTCTGATCTAACTGGGATGATATCTGACACCAAGAAAACACTGTTTAACGAATAATTATGTGTATACGAAATATTTTTTTATGGAACACGATGCTGGTTTTGTATGACAGGTGACGGGGTTTGTACGAGTGTACGTGAATGATGTGAATGACAACCCGCCCGTTTTCAGAAGGCCAGCATACGTCTACAACATACCTGAGGTAAGATGGATGCTGCTTAACATGACGTATTGGCGAATATACATACTGAGTGGCAAATCCTACTCTAAATTTCATTTTTTTATAAACAATATGTTTAATACAAGTCAAACATTACTGTTAATTATTGATACACGGTACAGTATATATCGACCTTCAAATTTTAATAATAAAAGGATGCCATTCAAAGTTTGAAACAAGGGGTCAAATTTCATTTTTAGATTCAATCACATCACAATGATATAAAACAGTTAATTTTCTAGCATTACATTTCCCCTGCTATTTTTTAAAATTCAGACCTCCCTGGGCATTGTCTGCTATACGGATATTTAGGTAATAGGATTGTGTCGCCATTTCTCAGTAGAATTTATTCAAATTTTGTAGATATATTGCTTTGAAGTAATGCAAAATTTCTGCCACAAAAAAAAATATAGGTTGTCAGAATTTTAAGGATTTTAAAAGGAAATTTATGTAAAAAGGAGTGAATTTTGAAAAAAAAATTGAAACACACAATTTTTTGCAAAATGATATCAATAAAAATGATACTAACATAGATTAGTATTGCATTACTGTATATCAATTTCATAAATGCTGAAATTGTGTACAATTAATTATCTATAAACGATTAAGAATTGACATTTTATAATAAAAGCATATACACATAGTAATTGCATGCAAGAGTTATCGTTCTTGAAAAACTTCACAGTAGTGAAATAGGTAGCTGGTTTCTGAAGTACAGAAAAATGGACACATGTGACTCAATGATTAAAAAACAACTGAATTAATGCCTGGATTGCTTTGCAATTCTTTAATATTGAATCAACACACTGTTCTGTCAATAATAAGCATACAATATTCATCACTCTAATATTAAACATAAGATTATGCGGAAATTGTGATACTGTCTCCCTACATTGGATTTTCAACTAGGGATGTACTTCGTAGTAACTCGTTGGCGTCAGGAACGGGAGAGGTCTGTAACATGTATCTGTTGTATAAATCGAAAACAAGTCACACTTATTGATCAGCAATACAGGTCAATTATCGTATACACTAAAGATAAGTGACACCTCAGACCTTTAGTCCAAAAGGCCAACACACAAACCGTGGTGCAACACTAACGGGAACAGATTTTATTTTATTGTAGTGCTCTATTTCTTTAATGATCCCTGCCCTCCGCCTAAAATGTAACGAGGTATTGAGTTTTTTTCTACAGCATCGCTACATGTATTTTATAAGCAAATTATTTCTGAACAATAACCCATACCTTGCGGGAATTTCTTCAGTTTTATTTTGGAAATTGTGAAATTTCGATTTTTTAATGATTTTTTTTCAATTGAACAAAATGAAACAAAATGAAACAAAATATTAAATTTGATGCAACAATGGTTTATTAGAAATATAACACATAAAAATTAATAACAATGTCAACATTGATGAACAAAACACGCCAAAAAAAACACCTGAGTAATTTTCTAACAACAATAACAATAACTCTTAAACAAACAAAAATGCCAATAATATGAATCAATAAAATTCTGAGTGCCAATGCAACATATTTAAGACAACGAAAAGAAAATATAGGTGACAAAAAATAAATATCTTGCAGACTCTCTTATTCTACACAAAAAAAAAAAAGATACAAAAGAAACTAAACAAAAAAGAGAGACAACTCTTAAATTTGTACCCAATAATAATTCTAAATCCATAAAAATTATGTATACAATTTACAACATACAATATAGCACAATAACATATTATGTTGTGATACAAAAATCACACTATACAACAAAATAGACTTTTACATTCTGAACAAAACAAAAATAAACTTTTACATTATGTACAGATAACAACATACCATATTGTGATATTAAAAATATCACACTATATATCAATAATAAACTTTTAAATTATTTACAGATAACAACTTATCATATTGTGATATACAAAATATCACACTATATATCAATACTAAACTTTTACATTATTTACAGATTTATTAGTGTTTTTATATCTTAAAATGTATGAAGATAAAAAAATTCCTATAACCTCTATTGAAAACCCTGTAAAAGTATAAACGTTTAAAAAACCCACCTCAATATCGTATATGTTATACCTCAATGTTTGCTAAAAATAAAAAAATGAACAATATCATAAAAGGTAAGTAGGAATTAACTGTATTGGTGATAACAACTGTTTTTTGTGTTTGACTGAAAATGATACACATTAATGGTTATCTTGACTATCTCATTTTATTAGTTACCTTTTGATTACACTTGTAGAATTCAAAATATTCGTCAAACCACAGTGCGAATATTTCAGCGACCGATGCAGATGATGGGGCAAACAAGGCCTTTGTATACAAATTAGACGTAAGCATGATAAAAACAAAAAATATAGATGTTATTGTTGAATGTATAGCATGAAATTGTTTTCTTTGGTGTTTCTTTTCCAATAAGTGTTACAACAGAACTATAAGTATCAATCTTACATGTTCCGATACCGTTAACTAAAATATTGCAGTCTTTAAATACGGTGATCTTTCCTGTCTGAAAACATTTGTAAATAGTAATGTTTAAAACCTGATGCTGAATAGTTTATGCAGTCTGTGCTGTCTGAAAATGAGTTATTTCCTTTCTTATGACAATATTACTTGTCAGAAACCTTTGGCCGCAAACTTTAGCAGCAATATCTGTCTGAAACAATATATTAACACTATGTTGATCCCTTTGATATGACACTATTATGCTAAATTCTCATGTTGATATTCTTGTCTTAAACCATCAATAAGATGTAATATCGACCTCTTCTACCTAAAGCTATATGTCAAAGAACATTGCTATATTTGCAGTCTGAAAGTATATGTTAATTATTCTGTTGTTTTCCTGTTTTATGACTGAAATCATATGATAAATATTCATTGTGATCTTTCCTGTTTATAACCGTCCGTAAATTAGAGATAGCGAACTTTTAATCGAGCTGTATACTTATGTCGATTTTTTGGGTCTCAAGCCATGCATATGTCGATTGTTCCGGTCTCAAGCAATGTATATGTCGGTTAGTCTAGTCTAAATCCTGAATAGGTTTATGTCTTTTTTAATCAAAATGTTTTGCTCGTTTACCATTTCAGGCGACAGGCCAGGTGAGCGTTTTTCAGTTGTTTATATTGTATAAAGACGTCTTCAGCATCGATCCACAAGATGGACAGCTCATACTTCAGAAACCATTAGATTATGAGACGCTCAGCTTTTACCAATATAATATAGTGGCCGTGGTAAGCACAATAACTTGATATTACAGTTAATCTTATGTAATGACGTTGTATCATTCAAACATAGTATTGTAATTTAAAACTGATATTTGTTTCTGATTTTTGTTTTGTTTTTAATCGTTTGGTACTGAAAGGACTATACATCTGAACATGATACATCAGTGGTGTTTTTTAAATATCGATTGATATAAGATATTATGAAAATTTTGAACTGTGTAAAATATTCATTAAGCAATTTAGACAAGTGGTGAGATGAACACAAACAACACAACACAGTCTTATTCATACTATTTGTGATAAATGTATGTTTTGAGCACAATCCTAATCCAATCATGATGGATCTTTAAAACCGCTAATCATGATGGATCTTTAAAACCGCTATATCTTCGCCTTTTAGAGGATATTTCGTTTAAACTGGGGTGGACCGAAACCATATGTAAAATATAAACACTGATTACATCACTCTCTGATACCAGTTAAGTTGGTCTAAAATTATACTGGAGCTTAATGGTACATCGATGTGCATATTTCAAGATTTCAAACAAATGTATAGTTAGCAAAACAAGTTTAGAATTGATGTGTTCAAAACCCGTGAATATGTTTTCAGGATAGTGGGACTCCTCCTTTGACAGGGACAGCTGAAATAACAATCAAAGTGACAGATGTTCAGGATACGCCTCCGAATTTCCAAGGATTACCATATATATTTACTATCAAAGAAAATTCTTCATGGGTATATATCAAATACAGTTTCATGAATGATGTTTAGTTTCTAAATATTGTCGGTTATGTATATTTTTTTCATTGAGTTAATGAATATGAAAGATTTTGATATCTAACTGCATTTTATTTATCTCTTAGAACTTAGTATTTAACCTACCACGTCTCTTTAGCTTCCTTCTTTGAATTGACCCTACAGAAGACACGACTTGCCGCCCGAATACCAAACTCTTTGTCAAATGAGACGACTTTTACTTTTACTAGTGACATACCAGCCTCCTCTGCTTATAGACCTAGCATGTCACAGCATGTTTCATATTTTTGAAAGTGTTCGAAAAATATGGGGTTAAAAATAGCTGCATTCTAATGGCAAATATACTACTTATAAATTGTTTCACTCCACTGAGGAAATGTAACGGTATCTACCATGACCTGATTCCAAACGAAGATGTTTCATTATCTATCGCCACCCTTGTTGTCGTCCGTATGATTTGACAGGATAATGTATGACAAGTAGAACATCTATACAGATATGACGTCCGAATATATCAAGATAAAAACAAGTTATAAATTGTTTTAAAACATTGCATTTTAATTTTAATGACGAGAGAAAAATAATCACCCTTAATATTCAGGGTGTAACAGAGACTTTTCCAACTCTCGGGTTAATATTTTGCAGAGCCTTGGGTCAGACAACGATAATATCTCTTTTCGGGTTGGAGACTTTTCTGTTGATGACATTTGTTTTGGTGTTTACAGTTTAATACTGCCCTTCTGTATTGATATTTAGTTTGATTTTTGTACTGGGGCATTGTCATATTACATTTCTACTTTTAATTTCTTTTAAGACAAGTTGTTATTAAATGTTTTGATGATACTGTGATTAACAGGCAATGATACATTGATAAAGTGTCTGTTGCTTAGGCTGGAAAAGATATCCTTGCCATGGACGGTGATCGGGGAATTCCTAGGAATATTCAATACAAAATTGTGAATGCTTCAGGTAATATTTGATATGAAAGAATTTGAAATAACAAATACCAAAACGTAATCGATATGATATAGGTAAGCTGGTACACAGACGACACAATAATTCATATCTGGAAGTCAATCTTATTTGAATAATGAATGTCATGAAGAGAATCAAAATGTTACCACTTTTGTTGTCGAGAAAAATCTAAAATAGACAAAAAAACATACCATTTTAGGTTTTTACTTATAAACATTTAGTCAGCACAAAATAATGCTTAGAACATCATAGAATGACTTGCTTTTATTTTCATTAAAACAACACACAATTGCAAGCAAATGAAAAAAATAAAATTCAATTAGTAATTATATATTTAAACCCTATTTTTTTCATTTTTTTTTCATAAATTAATCGATTGCTTATGTTCGAAATACTTTCCAACTGCAGCTATCAGCATTAACAATATTAGTAATACATTCAATGAAACCAATCGCGTAAGGGAAATAAATAAAACAAATACATAGAAATCTTCATTTCGAAATTATTTGTGACGAATTATCTCCCTTGTTTGGAAAGTAAATCAGAAATAAAGAAATAGTGCACTCGGACTGATCGGAACCAAACTACTTTCTCAGCAATAATAGAACCAAATTGTGTTAACCAATAGACTAAGGATCCCGATTTCAGGGGGGAAAACTGTATCCAACATTTTCGACGGTCTTTTGATATTCATGTTGGTATTACATGTAATACGTTGATATCATTGTTATCATTTAAGTTGATACCCATTATTGATGATTTCTCTGCCTTTAATAATATTTACTCTTTCTTGACGATGTTTCTTTTTCAATTTGAAGATGAGTGCTCCAAATTATTTAAGATGAATACCACTGGGAAGTTTTCAATAAAGGATAAATTGGACAGAGACACTGGAATCGTATTGAAAAATCAAGGAGTATGCAGGATTGATATCGAGGTTTGTTTTATCACTTTACCTCAAATCAAAGTTCTGTGTGCCCATTGAGTGCAGAGGGGCTGGGCCCAAGAGTGGAAATTTAGGTAAATCAAACAATCCTTCTATTTATGTACTAATAAAGAGATTAAAACTATTTTCTAGAACATTCTCATATAAAGGAGCTTAAAAACGATGAATGTACACCCCCACCCTCACCCCTGGAGCAGAGATAGGAGGGGACCTATTAGGGGGATTTAGGAAAATCTTCAAAATGCTTCTCTTTCTGTTCAACTTGAGGGATTAACCAAATGTAATGCAGAGCATTCTTTGGCAAATGCACCTCAATTTTGTATAATGGAGGATGTGGCCGAGCTGGTGCAGAGGGACGGGCCAATTAAGGGGATTTAGGTAAATCTTTTAAATTCTTTCTGAACGAAAGGAGGGATTTAAACCAAATTCTGTGAAGAGCAATCGGGACTCAATTCTGCAGAAACGAATAGTATGGCCCAGCTGGAGCAGAGGCCCATTACTAGTAACATACAGATAGATGTATAATTTTTGCCTATTTTGTACGAATGGAATGATTTAACCAAATTTTTGTTTAAGGTATCGTTGAAATCAAATGTGTATAAGTAGAGGGTGTGGTCCCCGTGGGGACTAGACGGGTTGGGTCAATTAATTCGAACAATTTTCTATTGTATGAATTGAGGGGTGTACAAAATCCTTGGGCAATTGGGACTCCATCTCGTTATTATTGGATAGTGTAGGCCCCTGGGGGCAAGGAGGCAGGGCCAAAAAGGGGAAATATTTTTTTGTTCCATAGAAATGGAGCGGTTTTAAAAGTGTCTTGAACATCATTGGGGAGGGGAGGTAATTTTGTTATGTACAGTCATTTTAAGGGGCTGTCACACTTAGCCGATTTGGGTCGCCGGAGCAATACCGGAGCACAAATTTGGCGATTTTCTTTGATCGGTACTAGTACAGCAGCGCTACGGTATCACATCGCTAAGAATGGTATTTCATCGTCAGAACATCGTCAGAACATAGGCGAAAAGGATAACAACGGCAGGCGACGTTAGAAATTTTTGAACATGCTCAAAAATGTCCGCCGTTGCGCTGCCACAGCAAGCAACGGGACCACAACGGCAATACATCGGCAGGACTCCGTTATGGCTTCGTTAATGTCTGTAAACCACCGGTAGCGTCCCGTAATGGATCGGCGGCTCTCCGATGGCCTCAATGTGTACCGTACTGGTACCAATGTGATACTGAAGAACTATCTAATACCACCGAAGTAGTATTGATACGCCGCCAATGTACTAACTATGTACTACCGTAACATCGGCAATTTGTATTTTTTTATATTCTTTAATTAAGAATCGATATATTTTTAACTCAACCCCGTCAAGTTAATCAAGACGAGCATATTTTAACCACACTACGCATATATGTGTAAAAATATATTGCATCAACAATGCAGAAACATATCCGCATTACCAAACGTGCCATTTGTAATGACTAACTTACCTTTTCTATACTCATACGCTGACAAGAAAGATATTATACATGCCAGGTGTAATCTTTTCTTTATTAGTATAAGTTTATAAGGTGATCTAATATGATATATTCGTGTAGGCTGAAGAGATAACAAAACCCGGAGAGCCGACTACCAACTCTACAGCCATCACGACAGTGACTGTGATGGTGGAGGATCGAGACGACAACGTACCAACCTTCAACAAGTCTCACTACGACGCCTACATACAGGAGGGCATGTCCAACATTCCAATGACCATCGTGGGATCGACCGGCATAGAAGTGTTCGATCTGGATCAGGTAAGGAACAAAACACATTTATTGTTTGCCTTTACATGTCAGCATCAATATAGATTTTCAAGAACATCCAACGATAAAAGCGTCTGTTTTAATGAAGCCAAAACAATTAGTTAACTGGTCGCTGAGAAGAAGAGAATACTCCGGAGACTGAATCAAAACAATATGAAACAATGTGTTGAACAGGTCTCTATTTCCTAGCACCTTCAAGCTTTATTATTTGCAAATAACGACGTTCAATTTCATTCACAGGGACCAAACGGTGAGTTTAGCCTAACAGTCCAATATACCAACGGAACCAAATTTACTGGAATTGAAGCTTCACCATCATTAGTTCTTACCCGGGCCACAGTTTTATTGAGACTTGTAAATGGGTTTGAATTCGACTACGAAACAGAACAGAAAATTACACTGCTTGTAAGTTTTTAGAGCGCTGTGAAAACATAGTTAAGCAACTGCCTCAGTAATTCTTGTTTTTGTTAATGGATAAAATCATTATCAGAGCTAAAAAGCATATTCAGAGTTGTCGCCAAGTCCATTATTTGATATGAGCTAGAACAATGTGACATTTACATCAGCGTAGTCACTTTAAGATATCCATAGAAAAAATTGTTGATTAATGCATTTACACGTCATTATAATATTCACGTGCAGAAGTTTCCTTTCACCTTTGTAAATTGTATATGGAAGGTTTTTTTCTGTTTTTGCATAGTGAGCTGCCTGCTTTTATCTATTACGAAATTTATTTTATAAGGAATCACATTTTGCAAATTGGTGTTCCCTATCTTTTGTCAAAACTAAATCTTGCGTCATACATACAGATTGTAGCCACCGAGAAGACTAACACGAGTCTGTCCGTCACATGTACGGTCAATGTAACTATCTACAATACCAAGGAGATTGATTATAACGCAACCGCACCCGAATGTCCGGTAAGTGGAATAACCATTATATTGGTTACAAGTAACGTGAACGCTGAAAGTCTTTCCTCAGGGTACAGATTCGTTGTGAGCTCAAACTGTAGACGATTGGAGGCAGATTGGTAATCAAATGTAAAGAATGACCAGAAGGGACATTATTCTATGGTTATGCATATTAAGGGCATTGGGATGTTGAAGCTTCATAAACCTCTGTAGACGTACATTTTTAATTATGCATTTGATATTTATTCCGGTCATTATTTCATGAGTGTTTCGGAGACGGTGTTATAATTATTATAGTATATTATAGTATAGTATAGAATGCTATAACACAAAGTTTTTTAACATACTGTACTGTATTATCCAGTAAATATACCCATGTCATATTTTGTTGCGTATTAACCCATGTAATATGACTGATCGGCCCTGTGATTGGTTGTAAGTTTCAATTGTGACGTTACGTCGAGGATAAGTACATGACGTCACAGACTTACGCACCGGGGTCTAAATGGCGGCTTTTTACATTTCAAGGTTGCATGAAAATTGTCGTTTTACACGAATAAATGCCACAAATCTTGATTACGTGATAAAAAGGATCTTACTCTCGTTTTCATTTCATATGAATTTGTAAAAGTTTTGTCCTCGTATAGTGATTTTTCGTTCAACTCTGTGGTTCTGTCTCGACTTAACTTCAGCTGGCTACAGGTCAATGAATGACGACACGTTTTATAAAGTTCTACAATTTATTATGTACAGAATGAAACAGTGAAGTAAATTAGATGAAACATGATGAATAGATATGCACAATGCTACAGCACGTCAACCACTCGACCGGTCCATACTAAAAACAGTATACCGTGTAACATATGTCCTCTCAAAAATGTCCACCCGGTATCCCACCCCGGGGAATAAGTTAAAACACACCCCGATAATAGATTACAACATGCCTACAACTGGAAAATAACCATTCCAAATTAACACTGAGATAATTCTACCCAAACATGCCTACAATGGGAAAATACCACCCAGCCCGGAATAATTTTGAGGTCTAAGGCCGAAATACACTCCTACATACCTGCCCGTAAGAATATAAGGGAAAAGACGAGCCGTCCAGCTACATGTAAGCCTCTGCCAGACTGATTTACAATACCAAAACACCCAGCTATATAACCAAATTTAATTGTATGCCTTGAAATGCACGTGCCATGGAGTATTTGAAATACACGTGCAATGTAGTATTTGAACTCGATACTGACTCATACATGAGCGTAGAGTGCTGTACAGGTAAGGTAACATATCCCAAAAATATTAACCAATCAGAAACGTCTAAATATGATACCTGAAGGGAATCCCCAACGGGAATACCCCAGGTAAACTGATCACAACACGCACTCCGTCTTACGAAACGTAAATACGGAACTATATACAACAAGTAAGTGTTCAAAACCCAATCCTTTTACAAATTTATGAAACTTGTCACGAAATTTTCATTTTAGTTCGTAGACTCGTTTCATAAATCCCATATATATATATATATTTACATTTGCCCCCACGCCGTCCTATTACAACAGTGTTAGAGGGCAAGTGTAATTATATAGGCTATAATTACAACTGCTCGACTATAATTACAACTGCCTGTTTCAGGTTTAGGAATATGTAAACAAACAAAATGGCCGCCTGAAATGTATTTTGAGGCAGGACAAATGGTTTTTGTAGGAATATGTCTTAAAAAAGAAAAATATGTAAATATAAAAAATACCTGGTTGTCTGGATGTAATTATTGTTGATATACTTACAAGTGGCCTCTGGCAAATCTACCATAAATCCCTAGCGGGGTTTATTGGATTTGCCAGAGGCCACTTGTAATTATATCAACAATAATTACATCCAGACAACCAGTTATTGTTTAAATATATATGTATGTGTGTGTGTATTTTAATAACTTTTTATTAGTGAAATATCGTAAATTTACTCTTTCATACAAACTATGATTTTTCAGCAAAGATATTAAAAATGTAACATATTCACATGTGATGATATAAAGTGCTGTATCGATTAACATAACTACATAACTGTAGCAAGTCGCACTATATGATAGTAGAAAATGGTAGGGTTGCTTGTGTTACGCATTCAAAATGGCTCAGAGCCTTGTTGTAAAGCGTGACATCATTAAAATATGGCGCAAAATATTCTTCTTCTGAATCCTGCACTTTGCGATGTACTTTAAAATGTAATAACCGTCTTATTCAACTAACCAATAAGATACGCTCCTTTCCACTTTAAAATCTCGTTCTATCTGGTTACCATGAAAATGACAACATATAAAGACAGATACACTCCCTCCAGTTTCATAATCTGGTTCTATATGATGTCATTTCCGTATGGCAAGATATAACTCTATCCCGCTTCATTGTCTGGATCTTTCAGTTGTCATTCAAATAAGCCCAAAGATATAACCAAATGCACTCTCTCTCATGTCTTAATCTGGTTGTATCCGTTGTCATTGCAATATTTTAACAGATTCAACTAGATTAAGCCCCCCCCCCCCCCCATCTCATTATCTGGTTCTCTCCGTTGTCATTTCAATATTCCGAAAGATACGACCAGATAAAACCCCTCTCAAGTCATAATCTGATTATCTTCATTATCATTTCAATATTTTAACAGATACAACCAGATAAAAACCCTCCCATCTCATAATCTGGGTATGTCCGTTGACATTTCAATATTACAACAGATACAACCTGATAATTTCCAATTCTCACTCAATAATATGGTTCTTACTGTAAAAATATAGCAACTTCCTTCCAAATGAAGTCAAATGTGACTATCAATAATATAATATAAAATCATTCACTGATCCTGAATACCTAGTATATAATTACACCTTATTTGCAACATCATAGACTTACCGAGATTATAATGCTCGCAGCTCTTCGTATATCAAGTGACTGCATATGTTGCGGACGTATTGTAACATAACTCGCGTATTGTCATGAAAGTGACGAATATCACATATGTAGCCATGGGTCATTACTGTATCATTATTACCGTTAGAATATTGGAACCATGGCCAAGGTTATTTTAATGACACTCATGCACAAAATGCAATTGAGTAGAATTATAAGTAAGTGGCAAAACAAAAAGTTGAATGATATATAGATTTACAAACTGGAAGTAAAGCATTATGTATGTGAGGAGTTTGACTTCCTTTTCCGGTTATGCATGTATTTTTGTCATTTTCTGTTAATGCATGTACTTTGTCTTTGTTGTCATTTTCTCCGCCCTGATAGTTTGGGTTGGTCGTTAGAGAAGCCACAAATCAAGAGGGATTTAGGAAAACAAAAGGGCTACTGTAGTTAAGACTCGATAGGATTAATTTAACATTTCGACATGTTTCGAGGAATTAAGAAAAAACGATGTTTATTTTTATGTTACTACGTAAGTAAGCAAACTGTTGTAGATCAGGTCTCGTGCACGTTTGGAGTTCCGTCCCCCAAAGGTGTTGTGTTGTATTAACATTTCGTAAATTGACGTGTACGTTTGGAGTTCCGTCCCCCATAGGTGTTGTGTTGTATTAACATTTCGTACATAGACGTGTACGTTTGGAGTTCCGTCCCTCAAAGGTGTTGGGTTGTATTAACATTTCGTAAATAGACATGTACGTTTGGAGTTCCGTCCCCCAAAGGTGTTGTGGTGTATTAACATTTCGTAAATAGACGGGTACGTTTGGAGTTCCGTCCCCCAAAGGCGTTGTGTTGTATTAACATTTCGTAAATTGACGTGTACGTTTGGAGTTCCGTCCCCCAAAGGCGTTGTGTTGTATTAACATTTCGTAAGTAGACGTGTACGTTTGGAGTTCCGTCCCTCAAAGGTGTTGGGTTGTATTAACATTTCGTAAA